CTGACGCGATTGGATTAAATAAAGTTTGATATTTTATCAATATGTGTGTGTGTGTAGCACACATGAATCTACATTCGCTAGCTAGAAAAATGAAAAATTAAAATGTGGAGATAGAATACAATATTTTGATAAATATAATCAAGTAAGGGCTCATTTATTAGTCTAGAGAAGATATGACAATTTTTATTCTGAGCTTTAAGATTAAATTGTGGAGATCGAATAAGTTGAACCGATCAAATTCCGTCAAAATCAACTGATCGAACCGGTACATACCGGTCCGATGTTTTAGATATCAATTTTAATATATTTAATAATATTATTTATATACATAAATAATTTTTTAAAATATAATAAATATGTATAATTATTATTAATTAGCTTAAGTAATTGGATAATTTAAGTTTTAACAAAATAGTTAATTAACAAATTTTTGCATATATTTATTATATAAAATAATATGTCATTATGCCTGCCATTAAGAATCCAAAATATACTCTTTATCAAGCCTTATGAAAATTCATCTCATAACTCAACAAATAAAATGTGGTGGAAACTTACATAGATAAATAGGCAATGTGCCAAAGTCTATTTTTCCCCAAATATCAGTTCGTCTCTTCAACCTAAATCGCAGACCCAAATTTCTGTCAATCTCATCTCCCAATCTTAACCTAAAAACTGAATCAATTTCACAAGATAATAGGAGTTTAATCTTGCACCATTGATGATGTAAGCCACTTGGTGCTCGAAATTGTCTGCGAGGACGAGGACAAGGACGGAGGCGGAGACCGTGCGCCATGTGGAGATCGACTAGTCAGTGGGGAGCGAGGTTGTGGTGGTGTGAGCGGACGGCCGAGTCTGTAACGTGCGGAGCAGGTGTTATGGCCGAGGTGCAGCCACTTCTCGATGGAGGTCCAGTAGTCGGCCACGCTGGTGCAGAGGCTCGCCGGAGACCTCATCTCGCCCATGGTGATCGGGCACCACAGGTACCGGTTGTACACAAAAGAAAATGAAAAGTTAAAAAGAAAATTATAATTTTTATCTAGCAAAACAATTAGCGGGACAATTTTTTTTGCGCTCAAAATTCGAGCTTAATTAGGAATTTTTTATCTAATTAGGGTAGTGAGTAGCAAAGGGTTTGATGATTTTATTCCTCAGTCTATCTCTTCCATTTTTATTCTGCTCAAATATATTTACCCAATTAGGTTATACTTAGCACTACATCAACAACAATAGCTGCAAAACACACGCCTCCTCTACAATCTTTTCCCGGTGAAGTTTCTTCATTGATTAATTTATGTTTTTAAAGAATTTTATATTGGCTCACCTTTAATCTGATTCTATCTTTGTATACTCATAATAGCATCTTTGTATACTCATAATAGCTATAGATGTAATATTTGTGTTTTATAATATGTTTTATTTTGTTTCATATTATGGTTTTGTCTTTGTGTAATCATAATAGCTGAAGGTATAGAATTAGTGTTTCATATTCTGTTTTATATTTTGATTCTATATTTGGCTCACCTGTATTCTTTTTCAAATTTTGATTCTATCTTTTCCTGGTGATGAAGTTTCTTCATCTGTTCAACATAAATTTCTGTATTTACAGAATTTTCTTCATCTTCCATTAATAGACATTCAACCTGATATTTTTATTGTAATGACACTAAAAAATATTCGATCAGGTTAAATGGCATCTATTTTATATGTTTTTTCTTTTGTTTAGAGACACGACACGACGTAAAGAATATAGATACATCATAATTCATACATCTGCTGGGATTATGTTATTAAAACGATTATGCATTTCTTAGTTCTTCAAAATTTGTTTTGCAGTGATAAATTCTTTGTTGTCTTGTGTAGATTTCTACGAATGGCGCCAGGAATTCGTAAACCCAGAATTATTTCAAAAGCTTCTTTACAAAGCATGCTTAACCAAGCTGCCAAGGATAGCTCAACTGCTGCATCAACTCGTATTGGAATAAGAGAAAATCTTAACCAATCAAATGTGTCATCTGCTGGAGTTGCTGGAGTGACTGGAGCAAGTCGAACTACTGAAGTTCATCATGGTTCTTCTGAAGAAAGTGATAGTACTACAGCAAATCACACTAATGAGAGTGGCATTCCGCAAACCCTTGAAGCTTCCAGCCAAAATCAGAATCTGATTGCAGCTGAAGGCTCAACCGGTAACCTTCAGGAGGATACATCAGTCAAAGGTACATTATTTTTTTTACTTAGGATAACTGTTGGAATAGTTGGAGGTACAATATGTTTTATGTTTTTTACTGTTGGAATAGTAGCTGTTTTCAGTTAATAGTTGTTGTTGGAATCGTTGTTGTTTATGTTATTTTCGTTATGTTGGACTTTGTTGTTTTCACTCCAGTGAATTGTTGGAATAATTGTTTTTCCTGTTATTTTTTTTGTTATGTTGGACTTTGTAGCTGTTTACTTACTAAGGCGTGTTTTCTTTTGTCTCCTTTTTTGTTCATTCTATTTTACTTATCAAAACGTTGTCGTTTTTGCTTGGGAATGTGGATGCATGTACAGACGTGAGATATATCTCAGCGTCTTGTTCCTTTTCTAAGTGTAAGCTCCATATATTTTCTCTGATATAATAAATGGTGTCCTCTTAAATGCTTTCCCGTCGATTCGAATATTGATTTCAACAATATCAACACGACCTGCTATCGTCATGTTCGGAACCATGAATTTTCTTAATTTTTGTTGTGCATTTTGTCTTCTTTTTTTTGTGAGCATAATGTGCGACTTAGTGGATTTTTTTTTGTGAGCATATTGTGCGACTTAGTGGAATTTTTGTTGTGCATCTTAATTTTTTTTGTTGTGCATTTTGTCTTTTTTTTTTTTATGAGCATAATGTGCGACTTAGTGGATTTTTTTTTTTTTTTTGTGAGCCTATTGTGCGACTTAGTGGAATTTTTGTTGTGCATGCTGGTAGCTGGTGCATGTTGGAGTTGTGCTTGTGCTATAATTAACTTCATGCCTTCTTGGAAATATATGTATAGACGGATTAGTAGAAAAAACCATGAATTTATTTTGGACTGTCGGATTTTGCTACTCATTTGTCTGTCAATGTTGCACAATCATATTTTGATTTATAAAGGAGTTAGAATATTAAAAACTTTGAATGAAACAGTGCACTTTGTTACCAGGCAAAGCTTCCGTCCCTAAGAGAAGACGTGGTCAAACAATGGGTAAGGGACTTATGAAAGCATTTGATGCCTCTGGAAAGAAATTGAAGATAGATGTGGATCCACTGACAGGCCGGCCCAAAAGTCGAGAGCAATCTGCAAAGCTCTCAAGTCAAATTGGTGTAGTAGCTCGAGATGTCCTTAGAGTGCCAAGAAAATGGAAAGAAATGGCTGAAGAAAAATTTTTGGAACCAGGCATCGATCATATAAAGGTAACTATAAAATAAGAATAAAATGACATGTTTTCATTTTCTTGTATATGTAAAAATATGTTAAATGTGATGTTCAGATTCATATGGATGTTAACTTGGATGCACCGGGTGTGAGGCATTGCTTGGTTGATAGGATGAAATCTAGTTCTCGACAAGTTCGTCACAGGTTGCATAAGCATTACAAGAAGTATGCAACCCTGCAAGAGGCTAAGAATAATAAGCCACCATTTTGTGTTAGTAAAGAAAATTGGGACGAACTCTGTGATTATTTTGCATCAGCTAAGTTCAAGGTAAAATCTCTAGAGATTGGTACTCTTATTGAAATGTTTTGGGAATATTTCTTATGTTGTAATTTCTTGTTTTCAGCATCAAAGTTCAATTAACTCTATGAATCGACAAATGTTAAGGATCCCGCATATATCTGGCAGAACTCCTTTTTCTACACTTCAACATGAAATTGTAAGTTCCAAACATGCGATTATGTTTTAAAATATTTACATATTACGCCATGGAGAAATAATCATAATATTTTAATAGGTTCATATCCTGTACATTTCATTTTTATTTTTATTTTTGACTAGGCTCAGAAGAATACTGCCAATGGGGATGCTAATGAAGATGCTAATGGAGATGCTAATGGTGATGCTGGGGACATAATTGAGTTCTACAAACTCACACATTCCACTGACAAACGTGGTTGGTCAAATAATGAGGCAAAAGAAAATTGGGTAATTCACACTTTCATATTGGTATTGGTATTGTTATTTTTTAGATAGGCATGATATATATTTGTAATCCATCAGGAGTTGATGGTATCGAGGCGAGAAAAATATGTAGCGGAAGGAGCTCATAAGACGGATGAAGAAATTGTTCACGAGGTGCTTGGTCCAAGATCGACTTATCTGAAGGGACTTGGTTATCAGACAAATCAGTTAAACAAATGCATTTTTGCTCCAGCCAACCAAAGTCTTCAAAAGGAAAAAGAGCTTCAAGAAACTCGAGAAAAACTAAAAGCGTCAGAATCACAAGTGAGTGAGCTCAAGGAAGAAGTTAGTGGCTTGAAGAACTTATTGGGCCAACAAGGTGCATATATTGAAAAGCTTAAGGCATTCATGGCTTCCAAAGGAAATACTTGAGGTAAACAATTGGATGTAATCAATGGTTTTTTTTTTTTTTTTTTGTGAAAATATGCTTTGATAAATGTAAATATATGTGTTGATTCAAATGTTTTATATTTACAGGTGATTCTACTCTTTGATGTTGATGGATATATCGAGACTTTTCAGCAAAACTAGAAAATAAGCCTATGGATTTGGAGATTTGTTTCTTACGTGTTTATTTAGAATTTTTCACTTAATATTCAAGTACTGTTGTTTTTGGTTTTAATTATGAATATTTTATATAATTCCTTTTATATATAATCATTTATTTTTATTTTACCGAATATATTATGTCATTATCTAATTTACTGGCTAATTACAATAGTATTTTTATGATAATTTTCAATTTTGTTATTAAAAGTAATATTTCGTGACACACTAAACTATGACTAATAATATGATCAAATATTGTGGCATAAAATGGCCTATTTATGACTAATATTTTGTCACACTAAACTTCTTTAAAGTGACAGTATAAATATCGTCACATTTAGCATAAATATATCGTCACATTTTTATATATATTTGGTGACGATAAACACAATATCATATAATACAATCTTTCTATGACTAAAGATATTGTCACCTTTAATTTATTTATCTGGTGACAATGAATATTTCATCATTAAAACATAATTTTAAGTGACATTTTTGTTCGTCATTATAAATATTTCATTGGTGACAAGTAATTTTTTGTAACTAGAGCACAACTCTTGTTTTGTCATTATATGTGAATTTTAAGACGACGAAATTCTCGTCATATAAAGGCCAACTTTTAATGACAATATAGATAAGTTTGTGACAAAATTTTCATGATAAATGTGACAAATCAATCGTCACCAAATCTCACAAAAGACAATGACAATACTATTTTTTGTCATATAAAGGCTAATTTTTAGTGACAAATATAGATAATTTTGTGACAAAGGTTTAATGATAAATGTGACAAATCAATAGTCACCAAATCTCACAAAGGACAATGACAATACTATTTTTTGTCATATAAAGGCTAACTTTTAGTGACAAATACACATAATTTGTGACAAAAATTTCATGACAAATGTGACACATCAATCGTCACCAAATCTCGCAAATATACAATGACAATACAATTTTTTGTCACAAATTCAAACAATTATATGACAAAATTGAAAATTTGTCATTTAGACCTAATATGACGCGGCTACAGTGACAAACTCCGTGACACTCAAAATTCGTCATCAAATATATTCGGTGATGAAAATTCACATTTTCATGACAAACTTTTTGGTCATATTTTTTCAGAATTCTTGTAGTGAATAGGGTGCAAAAAAAGAAAAAATAATCAACGTCTCCAGAAAGGCTTGTTTTCTAACACAACACTATTATTTGATGTGGATAACATATATTTCTCGCACCATCGCATTTCGTAGCAAAATCGTATACATTTAAAGAAGTCGAGGAAAATAAGAGGAAATAGGGGCAAAAACAAAAAAAATAAAAAATCAACGTCTCCGGAAAGGCTTGTTTTTGAACACGACACCATTATTTGATGTGAGTAACATATATTTCTCGCACCATCGCGTTTCGAAGCAAAATGGTCTCCATTTAAAGAAGTCAAATAAAATACAAGTAAATAGGGGCAAAAACGAAAAAGTAATCAACGTCTTCGGAAAGGCTTGTTTTCAAACACGACACCATTATTTGATGTGAGTAACATATATTTCTCGCACCATCGCGTTTCTAAACCAAATCGTATACATTTAAAGAAGTCGAATAAAATACGAGTAAATAGGGGCAAAAACGAAAAAATAATCAACGTCTCCGGAAAGGCTTATTTCCAAAAACAGCACCATTATTTGATGTGGATAACATATATTTCTCGCACCATCGCGTTCCGAAGCAAATTCGTATACATTTAAAGAAGTCGAGGAAAATAAGAGTAAATAGGGGAAAAAACGAAAAAATAGTAAACGTCTCCGAAAAGGCTTGTTTTCGAACACGACCCCATTATTAGAAGTGAGTAACATATATTTCTCGCACCATCGCGTTTCTAAACCAAATCGTATACATTTAAAGAAGTCGAATAAAATACGAGTAAATAGGTGCAAAAACAAAAAAAATAATCAACATCTCCGGAATGGCTAGTTTTCGAACACGGCACCATTATTTGATGTAGATAACATATAAATCTCGCACCATCGCATTTCGTAGCAAAATCATATACATTTAAAGAAGTCGAGTAAAATAAGAGTAAATATGGGCAAAAACAAAAAAATAATCAACGTCTCCGGAAAGGCTTGTTTTCGAACACGACACCATTATTTGATGTGGATAACATATATTTCTCACACCATTGCGTTTCGAAGCAAATTCGTATACATTTAAATAAGTCGAGTAAAATAAGAGTAAATAGGGGCAAAAACGAAAAAGTAATCAACGTCTTCGGAAAGGCTTGTTTTCGAACACGACGCCATTATTTCATGTGGATAACATATATTTCTCACACCATCGCGTTTCTAAACCAAATTGTATACATTTAAAGAAGTCGAATAAAATACGAGCAAATAGGTGCAGAAACAAAAAAATAATCAACATCTCCGGAATGGCTAGTTTCGAACACGACACTATTACTTGATGTGGATAACATATAATTCTCGCACCATCGCATTTCGTAGCAAAATCATATACATTTAAAGAAGTCGAGCAAAATAAGAGTAAATAGGGGCAAAAACGAAAAAATAATCAACGTCTCTGGAAAGGCTTGTTTTCGAACACGACACCATTATTTGATGAGGATAACATATATTTCTCGCACCAACGCGTTT